CATCAGGGATATTCCAGCATAAAATTTATTTAGGGTCAAACACACTGTAACACGGAGTTAGACACCCCCTCAAGAGATGAATGTTGCCGACCACTTGCTTCTCCAACTTTAGTAATGACCGCAGGATAGTAATACAGTCTGTAATGGACTGGTCTGAGGTCTCACTACAAACAAGCGTCTGCTGGAAGAGAGTAGGTGAGTTGTGTTTAGTCTCTTTGTTAAAGAAATGAGTCAAAGTTAAAAAGATGTTTGGTTTCTAGTACTATGTCTGGGACCCTATATGTACTAACCTCAGTAGAACATGGTGTAGATCTGTTCAGTAACAGAACCTCATTGAAAAATTTGATTGATTTAACTTTACTGTGCTCTTGTCCAAATATATTAACTCGACAGCACATAAATCCATACCTGTTAACAAAATCATGATTTTATTGATAATTCGGCTCAATAAAAACACCTTTACCTTTTTATTTTAACTACAGCAGAAGTTTATTGGCCCAGCTTATGGACTACAGAAGTGGAGAAACGCCCCCACTTAAGTTTGTTTTTTAGGAGTTAGAACAACTCTGAATATAGTACTATGGCTGTGACCCTATATGTCCTGTTGATGAAGTTAGGTGCTGTTCTGAGCATCATTGTGGCTATAGAGTGGCGTTTTGGTTGAGTGTGTGGCTCTCTGTATTTCTATCCTGCGGTCGTTACTAAAGTTGGTATAACTAGAGAAGCAAGCGGTCGACAACATTCATCTCTGGAGGGGGGGTCTAACTCGGTGATACGATGTGTTTGACCCTAAATTAGTTTTACTTCAGAATGTCCCTTTAAACATCAGTCCAGTCGGTCTTTGCTGTCTCTGATGTTTTCAGATTTTCGTATCGAGGTGAAGTTCTGACTGTCTGAGGAGTTTTCTATCAATAATATCAAAGAAAAAATCACAATGATCAGACAGAGATGTATTGGTGGCTGCAGTTCCTCGGACTGGTCTGGACTCCTCCGTTACTTCATGGAGGTTATGAAGAGTTCAGTAGTGCGCCAGCGTGTGAGAGTAGAGCAGGAACTCAGAAATCTTCGTCTCTTTTCGCTCGTTCCCTCAAATTTATTCCTTTCTGGAAACTTTCTGAACAAAGAGAGCTTCTGTGGGAACAACTGGGATCGTCTCGCCCATTTTGGCAGAGAAATCTCGACGGCGGGATGTGAAACTAAATGACTTGTCATTTGTTTTGGTTTTTTTTGCAGCGTGTGAAGTGAACATCCCCCCTCCAGAATAACTGAGGGAACTTCAAAGAGACGCCGCCGGGCTGCGGCGCCTTCGAATGTTAAACCTGCAACAAATCGGGGCGTCTGCGGGGTCACAGGGGGGTCACAGTATCTCCTTTTATTAGGCAAACATCCACCTGTGATGAGAGTATGGGACGGCTCACTCCCCGCCACTCCGGGGTTTTATTTTTATTCTTTTGAACGTTGTGCTCGCTCATTCAGGCTGTGCCGCTTAATTGCTTTTTATTGTCCATACATTTGTTTTAATGTGTGGAGGCTCAATGAGCGGGATGTTAACACCATTCAGAACACGCTTCCTCTGCTCTCTGAAGGTGATTTGATTTATTGTCAAGAAATCTGCCTGTTCAGAAACCACACACACACGCACACACACACACACACACACACACACGCACACACACACACACACACACACACACGCACACACACAGAGTCACAATATCCCCCTGCAGATAAATCAACCATCATTCACCGACGTTCAACCCTCCCTGTGACAGAGATTTAGAGTTCACAGGCGCCGCCGCGGTCCCTTGTGCTTCTCGTCTTCCTCTGGTGATTTAACGCCGGCGCTCTCAGCCCTGATTGATTACAGGCCCAACATGGAGGTCCACATCAACTCCCCTCTCCGCTTTTCCCATGGCTATGATTCGTCGTTTTACAGTAAACAAATGATTTTTTTTCTTCCTCCTCGCCGTGATGCCGGCGTGCTGCCCGGCTGACCGCTGGCCTCCCAGGTGGCCGCGGTGTTTTGCTGTCTAAGGTAAAGACGGGGGCGAGGTTAAAGTCATGTAGCGTCAGTTTAACCTCAACTCTTTGGCACCAATTAACCCCAGAGGAAGAAAAGCAACCTCAGGTGACGCCTGCTGACCTTTAGTGACCTCTGGCTTCGCTGCTGTACTTCACAGCGATGCAAGAAAGACTTTGATGATAAAAGGAAGATTATGGAAGCCCACAGGGCCAAGAGTATGTGTCATGCATTATTATACGATCGTTTTATTTTGAAACCGTGGCTCTCATGTCCTCTCTGCTGGTTTTGGATTCATGCCGTGTCGAATCCAGACTTTGTCCAAAAAGATCAATTACTGTATTTTTCGGATTATAAGGCGCATTAAGCAAAACAACACAGTCCGGTAAATCAAACTTTATTTAACTCAGTTGTAACAACATATACCGGTAAAAATACGCTCACTTATCGATTCATTCCTCTTCCACAAAACCATTAAATAAAATTCTTCATCTTCAGTGTCCGACTCAAACAGCTGTGCGATTTCAGCATCAAACACGCCTGGATCCTTCTCGCCATTATCCGAGTCAGTCCCGTTGCTGTTCGGTGATGATTCCAGCTCAGACGACAGTTATGTGAAAACAGATGTGATCAAATCAGCTCTCCTTACATTATCAATGAAGAAATGATCTGTGCAGTGAGACCTAATGGCTCCGTCTGGTTTTGTAGAAGGCCCCTGGTGGACATTTGATGAACTGCAGTGTTTTGCACCCTTACATTAGTTTCAGTCTCCAGGATCTGAGTCTGCTTCTTGTTTTTTTTGCTCTCAGCTTCAGTTAAATTCGATGTGTTCAGTTGAATCATGCAGAAGGAGATACCTTTGGAGAGGTTGTAGTTTTTTCCGATGATATTCCGGCGCCGGGCGTATCTGTCCATCAGCTGCACAGAGGGTCTGCAGGTGAAGGATCTTCAGGTGTTTTCAGGCTTTGAGTCAGACTGTAAATTCTTCTTTCAGTCTGAATTTTACAAATTTGACCAAGTGCAGTTTTAACATATATAAGGATGTATATCCAGAGTCAGTGTGCACAGATGGCCCTTAGCCCGTTTGGTTTCAAGGCATCCCGACAGAATACAAACACTCCTGCTCCCTGGAGGACCACATGAACCCCCCCATGCACAGCCTTGATCCCCCACCACCACCATCTCTGGCCCATCAGCCCCCGGGAGAGCTGCTGTCACACACGCTGACAACCTCTGTGATTGTGTGCAGCAAGTGTCTCTGCATGCAGAGCCGCCGCCTCCTGTCCTCCTGCCTTTACATTCACTCTCAAAAACCCGCAGAAGAAGAATTTATGGATTTATTTCAGACATGATTTCACAGAAAAGAAATATCTGTGAGAAAAGAGTCGATGTGAACAGAGAAGGAAAAATAAAAGAAACCGTCAGCTGGGGCTTGTGCTCAAAATCGGTTGGCTGTTACCGGGTAGATTTCTAAGACCACATGATGCTCTCGTCTATTTGAGTTCAATACGTAAAAGAAAAGAAGATAATAGAGGGAGAGGTGCAGCTCTGATCGACCTTCATATACCAGCTCTGATGATCACTCAAAAACAGCCTCTTTAACTACAGAAACTCGACAGAACAAATGCAGATCTTCATGTAAAATACTTTCCTCTTTTTAGGCGTCGTGCTTCTGCTCTGGTTTATCCTTGATTTATTATTGATAAAAAGTGCACCGTTCAATCCTAAAACATTTTATAGACTCACCGATTTATGGCTTAATGCATCGATGTCTTCAGAAAGGTTTGCTTTGCTTTTAAGAACATTTTGGTTTACTACTGACGGGCATTACTTATGTATGAATCCACTGATGTACTCTCAGAAATAATGTCTCGTTTCCTCAAACACAGACTGCGTCTCAAATTGTGTGTTTTATTTTCAAGAGGTGTCATTCGGCATGTTACAGGTTTTCAAGTTAACAATGGATCTGATGGATTATCTGCACAGAGAACCTGCAGAGAAATGTGTTTTTGATTTCCAAGTGATCCTTTGTGTCCAAGTCTGAGTGTTTCCGGAAGTAGTTCTGTTAAAAAGATCTCGATGTCAACCAGCAGGATGGTTATCGAGTCTCATCTGCGGACATTTTAACCCTCAAACAGCCAAAAACGATCCGTCTGAACCACTAAGACTTTTTAACTCGATGTTGAAGTTACCGTCGTCGTCATCAGCCCAAACGGCCCTCACCTCAGCCACTTCCACCAGCTCCTCCTCTGGGGGATTCCCAGGCACTCCCAGGCCAGGCGAGAGATATAATCCCTCCACCTGGTTCTGGGACGACCACGAGGTCTCCTCCCGGTGGGACATGTCTGGAACATCTCTAATGGGAGGCGTCCAGAAGGCGTCCTAACCAGACGCCCGAGCCACCTCAGCTGACTCCTCTCGGCGTGGAGGAGCAGCGGTTCTACTCTGAGCGCCTCCCGAGTGTCCGATTCGCCTACAACTATATCATGAAGTTGAACCAATCGACGAAGTCCTTAAACGCTGTCACTCCTGATAGCCAGTTAAACTCATTATTAAAATTAAATCTCTTCTGTCCTAATGAAGATCTACTACCTGGATGTAAACAAGCACAGATCGAATCTCGTAATGCATCAAAAAGGGGAGATAAAGTCGACACACAGAACCGCCCTGCGAGCGCTGAACACTCGCCACCCTCAGCAAACCAACCTGCCGTTCACCTGCAGACTCCGCGTTCAGGTGTGTTCGATAACTTGTTCTCAGTTTTGACTGTTTTCTGAGGAGGATTTGGAAACGAGTCCCTAAAGTTTTCACTCTAAAATGTTCCCTGATCGAGTCTTTCACTCTTCGCCCCGTTAATAAGATGTGATATTTCGTGAGTTTATTAGACCCTGAGTATTTGAGAATCCAACGTGAGTCATTTCATTTTATTTATTAATACGGAGCATACTTTGAGGCTCAGTCTGTGTTTCTGTCTTTTATTGCTTTAAATTATTGTGAAACTTTTCTGCTCTTTTATTTTTAATCTAGTCGTTGGAGCCGTGAGTTCAGCTATGAGCTGAAATCTGCTCCTCAACGAGGGAAAAACAGGAATGTTTTCAGTTTGTGGGTCTATAAAGAAAACTTTAACTTTGTTCAAACACGCAGAGAGAGTCCGTCAGTGACTCTCTGTCCACTTACAGGGACGAGTTCTGGCCTCTCCTGGTCTTAGGTTTGGGACTTCTTGAGTTTTTGAATGTTCCCGAGAACTTTGCAAATTGGAGCAACTTTTCCACAAACAGTCCCACCCTGTCCCGTGGGTCCCTGTCCGCCATCGTCAGTGAATATCCTTGAGCTGATTGGCCGTCCTCCAGAGCCACAAAGGAAACGATAACGCGGCCTTATCACCGGCTGAGCTGTAGTCTAAAGATTTAATTCACTCTGACGTGAAAAATCTGCAGAGTGCACCTTTAATAAAACATGAAGCTCCACCGACCTGCCCGCTTTGACGGCGTGTCACCTTCCTCGATCTGATTTCAAAACTGATTTATGCATTTGAGGTTCAACGCCAAGTTTCTTTCCCGGGAAAGGCACACCTGAAACCCGACATTTACCACTTTACTTTTCAGCAAACCGTCAAATTGACCAAATTCTTCTTGAGGAATCCTCTTTGAATAAAACATCTGCTGCTGCATCTCTCCTGGTTTTAGGGAGATTTACACAAATGCAGTCGGTTAAATGTGACTTTTCTTTAATCGAATCAGCGCAGAAGTCTGATTTTGAACACCGGAGTGAAAACACACGAGCGGCCGACTTGGTCTACATGAAACCATGTGATGAAGTTTGCCGTGCTCGGCTGTTTTTTGGTTGTGTATTATACTGAGGCTGGGGTCTTCAGCTGAGCATGAAACAAGCCGACTTTATAAATATACATTTCTGTTGTTGTCGCACTTGTTTTTATCAATGTTATGGAATCAACACTGCTATAGACATACTGTATGAATATAAATGGTCGTTGCTGTTTTTTACCAGAGGCGGCGGTGTAAATGATGTTTTCTGAGCGGGCAGACTGGACTCTGTGTTTCCTGTTTCTTTACGTCATCTCTACCTGTAAAAAAAACAGGATCCAGCAGGAGTCAAACAGTGAGGATTGTTTTCAGACCCCCAAAAACTGGATCAGGCCTCTCAGGATGAGTTTGTAAAGTACGGAAGCTGAAAGCAGCCATTCTTCATTTGGGGAATTTTCAGGATTTACGTCAGTCTGTCAGCTTTTAAGTACAAGAGTGAATTAACTGGATTGTTAGGACGCACTCACAGTAGGCACAGATGTCCCTGGTAAGGTAGCTCCAGGCTTAAATGGCGTGATGAATATACATGCATGATTTCCCTTCATTATGTCTAATTCATTTTCATGATGAATTTATCACACTGTAAGAAAAAAAAAATACCGTTAGTTTTTAATGCTGTCTTTGTTCATGTCCGTCTCTAAGTCCGGCCTTTAAACCTTCGCCAACTGATGCCTCCTCACGCTGATTCACTCCGCCAGTACCAGAGTCACATTAACACCGTCTTTCCTGTCATCCCTTCAAATTAAAGGGGATGTTTTTCTGCATCCTGACCTTTGGCGTTTGGGTGAAAGTAAAGGGATTGTTTGACTTTCTCTTGGTGCAGGACGAAGCACCAAGAGAAAGTCAAACAAATACGACTTTTTTGGAGGATATCTACCTTTTGTGAGTGCGCCCTAAGAGATCTAGAAGTCAAAACCACGATGTGGACCATAGAGGCAGCCCCAGTTTTCCATTAAATGGTCTTTGGACTTTTTCCAACAGTTTTGGCTGTAAAAAGTCTGAGTAAGAGCAAAGACTGACTTTAAAAGGCTCTAAATCGAGGAGGACATGTCTTTAAAGAGGACGGTTTCCTTCACACGACACTATCTTTACAAATTCACAAGGAAAAGCAGCTAACGTGTCGTCATGAAGCTAAAAACTGATCTTACTTTTGAGCTTCATGGAAAAATACGACCATCACTTTATAAAAATGAAGTTAATTTGAGATAAATCTGTCTCGAGAGGAAACGTCGGCTCCATCAGCCTTTAAAATCTGAATTTACAGTAAAATTTCTGGTCATTGTTTTGGAAAACCGTCCTGGTTTATGAATGTAATAAAACGGTGGATGGCGGCTCTGAGCTTCCAAACTTTACCACGCTCATCAAACATGTTTCTGTTTTTCTGAACGCGAAGAAGAAAACATCAGGTCCGAGCTGCCGAAACACTTCAGTCTTTGCAGAAAGTCCACGTTTGTAGCCTAATTGTTGGTTGGTTATATTTATATAGGAACAATGCTAGTGATGCCTTGTTTTTTGTACAGTTTTATGTACATGGAAGTGTAGGTTTTTAAAAAATCAAGAAGAAAAAATATATATATTCAGACACGGTGAAGGAAATCTGACCCTGACCTTGTAGGATTTTATCGTCTAAAGTACCGTAGGCTCTTTAAATGTAGGAGTGATGAGTCAGGCTCAGAGCGGAGGACGTCTCTCCTCCCATCATCCACCGGCTTTACCGCTTTCCTTTCCGTTTGGTCACGTTCGTCCGAGACAAGCTGTACATTTATTTTGTTTTATTCTTTCGTTTCTTTGTTTAGCTGTTTTTTCGGTCCTTTCGTTTTCTTAGAGGAAGTTGGGTGGCGTGTTCGTTTGAGCCTCATCTGTTCTCTTTTGATCAGCATCCGCATGTTTGACTTTAAAAAATAATGTGGTCTTTTATTTTTGCTGAGCAAATCAAAGAAATGATATCTTGTAATTACTCCTTCCTTATAGCTTTACAATAAAATACATTCAGTCAAAGAAAGACGATCGTTGTCTGTCTTTATGTCTCTGTGAGTGTCTCTGTCTGTCTCTCCTCAGAAGATTTAAACAGGTTTGCTTGTTTTCTTCTTAGGGTGGAAAAAGTCAAAAACTAGTAAAATAAAGATTAGACAAGAAATACAGGTGACAATAAAACACGAATATGTCTGATTTGACATAAATTGATCATGTAAAGTTGGTTTTCTCCTTCCCCACTAAAGAACCTTCTCGAGCCAAAAATCATATTAAACCAGATGTTTGTGAGGTGAATTTCATGGCGGATTACGAACAGCAGGAATCTCGAGAACTCACAAGAACCCACAGATTCACATGCAATCGTGCAACAAGTTGTCTCTCTAAAGACAGACACATAGACATATAAGCAGTAGATTGTGTCCTTCCAGAGGAGGAAATCTACTTCTAGACTTCTAGAATCAGCATCTCCTCATCCATGGTGTCATCGGGGTGAAATGACGTCTAAAAACCTTTCACTTGTTCGTCTCCGCCCGTTTGCATGGTGTGAAATACGATCCTCCTGAAACACGGAGTGTTTTATTTTGAAAAGAAGCCGGATGATTTATTTTGTGTCTGTGCCCGACTTCCTTTCCAGCACGGGTTAATCTGTGCTGAATTTATCCGCCATGCTCCGGCGTCCAGAAAAAATAGAACTCTTGTGATCAGCTGAGGAGTCCGGCGACCTTTTCGTTGCCGTTCTGGATGCGGTGGAAATTAAGGGTTTACCTCACTTATCTACAGTGTTAACAACTCCTCTGTAAGGAAAGTCACTTAGCAGCTGTCGTAAAAATCCCTTGATTACGTCATCGCCGAATTTCAATATCGTCTATTAGGATAATGGCCTACGTCTTTTTTTGACAAATTTTTTGACAGAAATGACTTTTTGGCTTAAATCATCTCTAAATCATCTCAAGAGATAAATAAACCGTATTTTTCACACTATAAGGCGCACTTAAAACCCTTCTGGCTTGTTGGAGGTAGCCTCACGGAGATATTGAATGAGTTCAATAAAGTTTGACTAATCTGACTGTTTTGTTTGGCTTAACGCACTTTATTCCGGTGCACCTAATAGTGCAAAAAATACAGCAGCCAAAAACTCATTCTCGTCAAAAATGATGTAGGCCATTATTAAGTTGACGATATTTATGTGTCTGTGTTTTTGAAGTTTAACATCGGTACCTGCTTCATGTCAGAGTCTCTAAACTCCAGAAAAAGTCGCTAGATTTGTTCTTGGGCGCTTTTTGGAAAATAAGTCGCTATAGAGGGGTCTGAAAAGTCGCTCAGTTGGCAACACAGCTTACCTACAGCGCCTGAGTAAAAATCAGCTGTTCTGATAGGTTCAACAGGCAGAGCGATGACGCCGTAACTTTAGTTAACACTCATAAAGGTAACATTAAACCACGTCTTCACAGGTACAGGAGGTTTTTTTCAGTTTCTCCAGTTTTTTCTCACTGATACAGTTTCCATCGTGATGACCTCCTCCTCCTCCTCTTCCTCCTCCTCCTCCTCCTCTTCCTCTTCCTTAAATGTCTCCGTCTACGAACTCGGATAACTTACTGTCTTCCCAGCGCCGCTCTCCTGATGTTCCTGAGGAGCTGTAAACGCCTCGCCTCTGCTTCTTCGCCTATATTGGATTCCACTTCAGGAAATTGACTCGTGAATCCTCGAGTTGCAGTGTGTCGTGCCCTAAAGCGAGACACCACCCAATCACATTTCAATAAAAAACAAACCCTGTCTGCGGCCGCCGCCGAGGATGAGGAATATCAAACGCACTCAGAGGAAGGCGCTTATGACACTGTGCTTATAGCGCTGTTGCATCGCATTACAGCAGTAAATTGAAATTCGGGGAGAAATGATTAAATTCATTGCCGCACAATATTTCTGGCAACAACAAAAAGAAAATATTATCAGAGCTTGTTTTGAAGAGGACGACACAGTTGCAGCAGGTTGCTTTTCTCTGCCGTCTGCTCCCCAAAGGTTTCATCACTTTACCCCATTTCTCCTCTTCTGTTTTTTATTTAGGCTGTTTGTCCTCCTCCTCCTCCTCCTCCTCCTCCTTTCTTCTTAACACGCCTTTCATCTGAACTCTGCAGTCCCTCCTCCCTATCCTATCCCCTTGTTTCCTTGTTCCTTTCCTTCTCTTACTCAAAGCTATTCCACTCTGGTCACCGCTCCATACTTCCTTCTTCCTCTTTCTAACCTCTCTTCTTCTTCTTCTTCTCCTCCCTCCTCTCTCTCTTCTCCTTCTTTCTCATTTTCTTCATTCTCTCTCTCAGCTAGTATTTTTATTTCACCTCCTCTCCACCTCCTTTGTCTTTCTCCTGATCTATTTTGTCTGTATTTTCTCCATGTTTCCTCTTTCCTTCCTATTTCTGTACCCTTTTCCCTATTTCCTTTCCTCTTTCCTCCCTTTCTTTACTATTTTAATTTCCTCATTCCTTTCCTTTTGTCCTTCTCCTTTCTTTACTCTTTAAATTTCCTTTTTCCTTTTTCTTCTGTCACTCTTTTCCTTTGCTCTTTTCTTTTCCTCTTTCCTTTCCTTTTAATTTCCTCTTTCCTTTCCCTTTTGGTCTTCTCCTTTCCTATTTCCTTTACTTTTTTCTCTTTTCTTTTCCTCCTTTCTGTGCTTTACCTCTTTATCTTCTTTCGATTCGTTCTCTTTTTCCTTTCTCTTTGTCTCTTTCTTTTTTATCTTCTTTTCTTTCTTTTCCTTCCCCATTTTCCTGACTTGTTTCCTTCATCACTTGCTTCCTCTCCTTCTTCGGTGTCCTTCCCTCCTCCCCCCACTTTTTATTCCCTTCCTTTATCACATTATCTTTACCTTTCCTTTACTTCTCCTCTCCTCCTTCCTCCCACTCTCCACTCCATCTGTCCTTCACCGCTGCCTCCTTTCCTTCCTCAGACTCCTCTGTCCTTACCCTGATTTTAGTTTAAGCTTCCTCCTCATTTCTCCTTTCTTTAACCTTCTTCACCTCCTTTTACTCGTTTATTTTAATCCTTTTCGTTTCCTGTCCTCCTCCTCTTCCTCTTCCTCTCCACGCAGGGATGTAAAGCAAACTTAAAACAGGAAGCAGATGATAATAATATAATAATGATGTTGTAAGATGAGCCTGTATTGATTCTGGGTGTTGAAATCAGGTCAGTGAAGCAGCAGAAATTAGAGTCCGAGAGGAGAAGAAACCAGGAAGTCAAATATGCAGAAGCAGCAATTTCAGAGCGATAAGAGCGCGTTAGGATGAATGTATGAATGAAGACGACTCTGCAGAGGGATATATATTTGGTTTCTATCTAACAAAGTTCCATTTCAATGTGCAATGTGGCCAAAAAATGAGATTCCTCTTCCACAGGAGTGAGGAAAGTGGTGCTGAAAGCCTCTTTCAGAGTGTTAGATGATGAGGAAGAGGAGGAGGAGGAGGAGGAGGAGGAGGAGAGTGGTGTTATGTGGTCAGGAAATACATCTTTGGCTCTTTGGCGGAGAGAGAAAACGACGGAGAGCCGAGAGGACAGAGAGAGTTTGGTGTAATTGGTATTAGGCAGACTGTCAGGCAGGAGGTGGGTGGGTGGGAGGTGATGTATGGATGGAGGAGATGTTGAAGAAGTGAACAGAGACTGTGGAGGATGCTCAAAACCTGCTGCTTCAAACAGCCTGTGATGAAGATTAGGAGGAAGTGATGGTGCGGGCCGAGGCGTCGCCAAAAAAACAACTGAAGTGAAAAACATCAAAAAGTCTGAACTTCTTTAGATGGTGACCGTCCGTCTGCAGGAGATTCAACTTCACCTGTGATGTGAGAGACTTCATAACTCCGCCTCTTTTTGGATAACCCCACCTACTTTAGAGCTATTCTGTGATTGGACGATCACTGTGTCTCTCCCTCTTTCATCCCTCTGCTGCTTTAGTTGTGGAAAACCTCATTATTGTTCATTTCAGACATTTCTCTCTTTCTAACAGGTTTTTACCTCACAGCAGTAAAGTACACAAGCCTGCCGTGTTTATGAGAAACAGACAATAAAGCCGTCTCTTGTGTTGTACTATTGTGTCGAAAAGGTCAGGATAGTGTCATTTTTTTTTCTCAGTGTAAGATACAACCTGATCAAAAGAGCTGAGTAAATAAAGAAACCTGAACAGACCACTTCATGAAGAAAACATCACATAGATGCTTCACCTCAGGAGAATGTCGTGTCTGTTCGTTACAATCTCTCTTTGTATTTTATTTAATAAGGAAACTGAGTTTGAGCACCGTGCTGCAGCCTTATAGATAACATAGTAAACAGAGTAAATGTAATCTCTATCATGATGTAAAGGAATTAACCTTAACCCTCAGGACCCCCTTAAAAAAATCTCATTAGTGTCTTAGTGGACACTTTTATTCATGGATTTTTTGACACAAAAAGAAAAAAAGGAAAAAAAAAAAAAATATCTATATATATATATATATATATATATATATTTTTTTTTTTTTGTTTGGTCCTTAACTCCTGTCCTCTTTTTTTGAAATTATTGTGAAAATGATGTAATATTTTCAGAATTTAACCCCTCCAATGCCAGTTTAAACAAAATATAACAATTAAAAAAAACTAAATGTATAATATTTTTTATTTAAAGAATGCATAGTGAGGGATAATCAGTCTGGGATACGTAAAAAAATAGCAACAACTATCATTTTGATGGATTTTTTATTTATTTACTATTTGAATTGTAAAAAAATATAGAAATCACATTAGTGCACAAGAAATAAGTTTTTGTATAAATACATATTGACATATTTGAAACATATGTTTTTTTTTTTTTTCTGTCTGCTTAATATTATGAAAACGTGATGTCATTTTTATAATTTAACCCCTTAAAAGCCAGTTTTATTCAAAATATAACAATTAAAATAAACAAAACAAAACAATCATTTTCCTTTTGAATAATGCAAATGATTATTATTTTTTTGTGGAGGGATGATCAATCTGGGATACGTCAAAGATTAGCAACTACTATCATTTTATTGATAATATATTTATATTTTGTATTTGTAAAAAAAAAAATAAAAATCACATTAGTGCACAAAAAATACATTTTTTAATGTACATATTGACATATTAAAGACATATAAAAAATATGTATATACTTTTGTCCTCTTAATATTATAAAAACATGATGTCGTTTTCATAATTTAACCCCTTATAAGCCAGTTTTATTCAACATATGACCATTTCAAATCACAAATGTTTATTAAACAGATTCAGACGTCTGTCGGTAGATTTCCTCATATATCCGTCGACTGTAGGTATACCCTGCTCTGAGGTTAATGGGTCTGGTTTGACTCTTGTATGTGCAGCATCTATGTTTTTCTGATCTGTACTGTGTTTTTGTACAGATGCATTCAGGAGCAGAGTTTCTGTAGAGCTGCAGGTTTTTTTTCTGAAGGCTCTCTGACTGCATTTCATTTCCCTGCTGTCAGGGGACGCGGCTCAGCGTGGAGGGGCATGGAAACCGCCGCTCGCCGCTCTCTTTCTCTTCCTCTGAAAGCATGTCCTTTCTCTCAGTCTAAATGTTGCATGTGTATGTGTGAATTAAAGCAGGACCTTATCAGAGCGCTCCCAGCCACAAGTGTTCCCATTGAAATGCAAGGCGTGATGTTTAATCATTATAAGCGAGATCTGCGGCGGCCAGGCTAATCTCCATTTTAACATTTCACACAGCGCCTGCAGTTATGTGCCTTTTTCCCTTCCTTCCTGCCGCTGAAATGACGAACAATAGCTCTTTTTTGCACGGCGGTGAAGTGGCAGCGGAGAGGCGGCGGAGCGCCGGGCGGCTGCATTAACAGCGGCTAACAAACTTGACCTCGGCAGGTTCATGCAAATGCACAGTTAGAGGGAATAATGGCTGCCGCTGCTAAAACACGACCCGCACTTGAACCTTCCTCATCTGACAGAGGAAGAGGAGCCACCTGAGTCGCTCCTACAGCTGTTCAAAGGGATGAAGATCACCCCGAGGTTCACCATGAATTACAAACTGCAATTTACATTAATGCATTCATTATGCTTTGGTGCAGTTTAGAGGACATGAAAACAAAGATCTGCAGAAGCGAAGGAGGAGGGTGTCGTCTTCTTCTTCAGGTGAAACAGTTTGAAGTGTTTGATGTGAAGCTTTAATCTGCTCTAATAGACCTCAGATACACGAGGAAAACCAACCAAACAGAGGAGCGTCGGATAATCTGCAGTCAGGACTTAAAAGGAAACAGAAAAACAGAAACATATGGTGTTTCTCACGTTAAATTCAGGATTCATTTCACGTTTGCAGGCGTGTATTATCCTCGTACGTGTAATAATCTTAAACTCATAACTTAATGATTTTTTATGTCGGTGGAAGTGAGCGAGAAAAACCTCTGGAGGTTTTTCATCAAAGATCGATTAGATTATTGTCGATGTTTTAAATTCTGACTCTGTTCCTCTCTGACTCGTATTCCCTCTTTTATTTCCAGGCTAACATGAAAGTCATGGTTAATGATTGAAGAGATTGGAATTATTATGAACCTCGTTTCCATGGCGATCATGGTCCTGTAGTTCGATCTCCACAAAGTGAAGAGAAAAAAGAACGGAAAAAATCTGTTCATCCTATCAGCTGCAGGGCTGCAAAAACATTGACCAATAGGAGCCATCCGTCCCAGACAGCTCCTATTGGTCAATCTCCTGCTCTGCCTCAACATCCAATCACCTCGCTGTATTCGACACACCCCTCTCCTGTAGTTCAGATCCATCCCCTCCCACTCTCCCGGCCCTCCTCGGAGCTCTGAGCGGCTGAAAGTAGCGAAGATTTCACCGACGCAAAAGTGCGAAAATGAACCTCATGAAGACAGAATCGAACTTTCAAACACGACTCATAACAATCAGACGGACAGGAGACGCCCAAACAATCCCTTAAATCTCCAGAACTGTTCCTTCATTACCTTCTTATACCACCTCAACGGCATCATTAGTCGTATTTCCCGTTAGCGACCTTCACATTGGTGTCTGATAGACAACAACGTGACTTCTTCTGTAAACATGTTTTCCTTGCTGGCCGTCTCTGCCTGTTTCCCTCTCCAGATGAACATCATTCATGTGTGAAAAGTTCACCATGACCTGGACTCTCTCCGGCTCTATCCTACATCCTGTTTTTCAATAACTTTGCTCAAAAACACGTCTATTATTCGCTTCCACAAAAGTAGCGTAGCAGCTAAGCTACAGGAGCTGTGATGGAGACGAACGCAAAAAAAAAAACACTTCTGCTCGCCACACCGCCAAAAAAAGTGGGAAGAAAACGCCGACAGAAGAAAGGGCGGAGACGAAGATGAAATGTGACCAAGAGAGGAATCCAAGAGAGTTTTAGTTGAACAGGTCATTTTTATCTCCTCTTATCGTGGCTCATGTTACATAAATAACTCTTATTAGTCTCTGACATGTCAACACGGTAGCTGTCCAGGCAGCTGCAGACGGCGCTCGCTAGCAGAGCTGGCGTTTACTGACGCTAGTCACTAACAATCCAACATGGTGGATCCTGTTTGAAGCTAGCGTAGGATCTTCTGCTAGAGGGGGCGTGTCGTGGGGAAGGCGATACAGGTTCAGGGGGCGGAGTTATCACCTTAACGGCTCGTCAACCTCGCCTCAAACGTTTCCTCCGAACTCCTCATGTAAAACTGTTTTCTGCTGACATGGTTGTTTTTTTACTTCCTGTTCGTGGAGTCGGGTATCTCCCTCATTTCCTGTTTTTGCTCGTTGTTGTCTTCGTATCGGACGGTACCAGACTCTCTCTCTCCTCCCTCTCTTCCTCCTCCTCCCTGCGGTGCGTGATGTTCACGGCCTCTCTCCATCACTGTCGGCCTCGGGGCAGGCCGCTGAGGAGCCCGCTGAGGAGTAAAAACAGTGGAGGGATGAAGAGCTGGAAGGAGGGATGGATGGATGGACGGATGGATGGAGGGAGAGATGTTTCCCCTCAGGACCTCCACAGGCAGCTCTCGTATCAATCACTCGACGGGAGGAGAGGCTGATACTGACGGATGATATCCCCCAGCACATCTTCCTCCTCCTCCTCCTCCTCCTCCTCCTCGCTCCCTCTGACCCCTCATGGATGGACTCCCCTCCTTCAGTCCATCCCTCCATCCTCTTCATTTCTCTCTCCTCGAAGTCCGTCCATCTCACTTCATCTTGTTCCTCCATCTCTGTCTGTTTTTCCTGCTCCTCCTCTTCTGTTTCCTCTCCATCTTTCTATCTCCATACCTCCCTTTACTCCTCCTTCCTTGTCTTCTAAACTACGTCCCTCCCTCCTCTCCTCCTCTGACAGCGCCGTCTCTCTCTAAACCTTCGGCGCTGCCTGCCATCTGTCAGGTGACCGGCGTTTGGGCCGCAGCGTCTGCCGGTGTCACAGTTCAGCCCTGCAGGAGGAGAAGACCTGTCAGGAGCTGCTCAGGGGAGGCGCAAGGTAGGATGAGGAGGTGCTAGGTGAAGTGAGGAGGCTCTCGCTGAGTGAGAAGGGACGGAGCAGAGGAGCAGAAGGGAAGACGCCGAGGTGGAGTCCGGCTGACAGCGAGGGGAGGAGGAGGAGACAGAAGGAGGTGAATGATGGGAAAAGAGGAGAGAGAAGGGAGGAGGAGGAGATTAAACTGCAGAGAGAAAAATGGAGGGAGTTGGCGTGAAGGTGTAGGAGGTGAAAATGGTAAAATAGAGAGAGAAGGAAAAGAGGAGGAGGTGAAAATGAAGGTAAAGAGGTAGAAAAGTGAGGTGACTCCTAAAGGAGGTAGGAGATATACAGAGGAAGGATAGGAGGTAAAAAACAGAAGCGAGAGCTAGGAAACATAAAAGGGAAAGAGGTGAGGAGGGTAGGAGGCTGTGAGAGGAGGTAAAAGAGGAGGATGAAAGGAGGAGAGGAGATCAGCAGGGAGGAGAAACACAGAGGAGCTTTAATCCTTCATCTCAACGGTAACGATGACACCAGCAGGACGATTCCACTCAGCGGACCTCCTCCCTCCTCGCCTCCTCCTCCCTCCTCGCCTCCTTTTTTTCCTCCTTTATCCCTCTCCAAACTTGATCTCTTTTCTTAGTCGACTCGATTAAAGCTGATCTTCCGTTTTTTTTTCTCTCTCTTTATCTCCTCCCTCCTCCTCCTCCTCCTCCTCCTCCTCCTCTAATCTCTTATCTCATCTGCTCCTCCATTCTTCCTCCTCTTCATCGCCACCTTTCACACCTCCTCATCGTTCATTGACTTTCTTGTCATTCCTTTATTACCTCCTATTATCCTTGTTGCTGCTCTTCACCCCTCTTCTCTCCATCATCCCGCTCTCTCTCCTTTTCTTCATCACTTTAACTTTGGCTCTCGCCCAACTCTTCCTCCTCCACACCTCCATCCCCCTCTCTCTCTTTTCTCTCGTTTTTCAGTTATTTTTCTTTTCTCTCAGCTCTCGTCTTTCACATCTGTCCTTTCTTTTGTCCTTTTCTTCCCTAATGTCTCCTCCCTCCTTTATTATTTCCTTTTCCTCCTTAAATATCAAACTTCTCATCAGTCCTTTTTCTTGTATTCCTCCCTCCACTCCTCCTCTTTTCCTCCTCCTCTTCCTCTACTTTTTATTTTCATTCACCTCTCCTTTTTCTCTCCGTTTTACTCCTCTTACTCTTTCTCCTTCCTTTGTCTTCCTTTTCTTATCCTTTTCCTGTTCGATATTTTTCCTACTTCTTCTTTTTTCCTTCTCCTCCTTTTTCCTCCTGCTCTCCTCTCTTTTTTGTCCTCCTTTCTTATTTTAGCGTCCCGTCCTTCCTCCTATTTCTCTCCCTTCATTTTTTTATATCCGTTTTTGTTCGTCTGTTTTATTCTCTCGTTTCTCTTCGTCTTTTGATTTCCTTAACAATCCTCCTTGTTTTAATTATCCTTATTTCCTCCATCCTTCGTCTCTTTTTCTTGTTTCCTTCTCTTCCTTCCTTTCCTTCTTTCCTCTTCTTCTTTTTTATTTTCCTCTATTTTATATTTTTTATCATCCCCTTTTCTCTTATTTCGCTCCAACCTCCTCGTCTCCTTCTTCTCTCTTCATCTTTCCTCTCTTTCTCTCCTTGACTCCTTTCCTCTTAGGAAGCATAAACCTGAACAGGTGTTTACCAACCTGACGTTTCCCCTCTACCTCCGTCACCATGGTAACGAGCATCATCAGCCTTCGTCATCCTCCTCATCGTCGTCATGCTGCTAATGATGCTAATTCATAACCGGCGCTGATCGGAGACATACATCATCCGCCGGCGAGGAGGAGGCGTGAGGTCCGGTTGACCTTTCGGAGAGGTCGGCGCCGTGCTGAAGGCCCGGCGTGATGGACCTTGGAGGACGGCGAGGTAAAAGTGGAGTTGTTTCTGAGCGTCTGTGTCTGATGACTCAGCGGGACGCCGAACCATTTCCTCTAAATTTACCTGATTTTTAAAAATTGGACACGAGAGGAAACTCAATCACAGCGAACAGCAGACGCCCCGATGAAGAAACAAACACGCCATGATCTGATGTCGACTTTAAATGTGTTTTTCTATAACCAAACATCAGGAAGACGCCGCTCAGTGTGACGCTCGAAAAACCGCCTCCGTCCTCGTTTACCGAGAAAACCAACAAATTATGTCGGTCTCCGAACACGCCCTGATTTCCATACTCAATCAAAATCTGTTTCATTCTGGGAAGATTCAGCAATTTCCTAAAGCAGCTGGTCGCTCTGGAGTTTTTTAAACGTCACTCAGGAGGAAGCGGGGGACTATTTCCATCGGCGGATTAATCTACATTTGCAGATCTGTGGAGTATTTTGTCCAGCAGGACGGCGTGCGTGTGTGCGTGGGTTTGAGTCCACAGCGGCGTTCGAGTTCATGGAGATGAAGAAAGTTGTTTGTTTTTAATAGTTTTCAGACAACAGCCGAGCTCGGAGGCACAAAGCAATAAACAGTATTATACTGTGAATACACAGACGACGCCGAACACGTCCGTCCAGATAAAACCGGATAAAAAAGTTCATATCTGAGAGTTTATGGGACTTTTTCTTTAAATTAAAAACACGAGAGCAAAAATGGAAGGATGCAAATATTTGCCTCCAAACGTTTTTACCTGACGTTTGTGTTTCAACCGATATTTACAGAAAAACGCTGCATGATTAAGTTTTAAAATAAGTTTAAATCATGGCCTGAAAAAATAAGAGGTTTTATTTCTAATTAGTTTTAACCTGCTGAACTCATATTGGGTGACTCATGTCGTTCATTCGCCAAGTCCTGAAGGAAGAATCACTCCCCTATCCTGAAAAACTCAGCTCACAGCAGCGAGCAGCACGCCGCTAAATGAGCACGAGTCGTCGTTCTTTTATAATCGCAGAAAAGTGGCGAGATTAAAAATAAATAAAGATGTCAGCTGTAGCGAGGATTCAGATACTTTTAAAGATATCAAATATCGTATTTCTTTAAATCATCTGAAATTAAATCTTCTTACAGGAAAGTTTGAAACACGTGTTTTAATGTAAAGGCGCCATAATGACCTGTTTTATCTTAACCTCAGAGAACGAAGCGCTGCTCGACAGGAAGTGAACGACACTACACCTCCTCCCTCCTCTGCCTGACTCAAATCATTCGGAAGTCGTTCGTTCACAGACTGACTGATACATGTCGTTCATTCACTGTGAGTGAATCACGAGACTCCGCCCGCTCGCCGGCTGCCTGTGTGTTGTTCGCCAAAGTCAGAGGCGGCAGTTCCAATCCTGACCGACACGCCAAGGAACGAATCAGGTCTCTGAGTGATTCAGTTCACGTCGTTCACTCAGCAGTTCAGTTCTTCTTAACAAATCGTTCATGAACGACACGGACGACACGGTAAACCCCGATCTTGTGTTTACATTCCCACCACAGAGGGCGCCCTCTGCAGGAAGCATATCGGCTGCATGGTGGCTGCAGGATGGCTGATTTTTGGCGTGCATTTCAATCGATCACCAGTAATGACGTAATGTACCTGGGAATACAGAACAGTTTTCTGTTTCAACACACAGACCGGGTTTCCAGCTGTTTGGTTTAAAGATGGTGATGTTCTCGGGGCACGAGTGTCAAAAATTCATGGAGGAAAATTTTTGCTGATGTTTTTGTTCGGCAGGTCAGCAGTGACACACACACACACAAAAACAGCTTTGTTGACTTCAGGCCGTCAGATGTTTTCAACGAGCCGCAGAGGTTAACGTGACCGAACACGCTGAGACTCCGGCGCTCGAGAAGGTCACAGTAGAAAAAGGTGTCAAGAGCAGAAACCTCCAAAAAAAGAGAGAGAGAGAGCTGGCTGAGTCATGCCTCTCTGAATCTGTTCTCTGTCTTATTACTTTCTGCTCCAAATACATCATTTATTTTCAGGTTAATGAGAGAATTCATCAAAGTGGAGTCGAAGGTGACAGGATGTCCAAGTTCTGGTCACTTCTGTTTAAGAAAACCGTTCTCAGATGGAGGTCAGTGGAATATTTGTCATTTTAGGTCCTTTTTTTAGAAACATCTGATTCTCATGTTGAACCCACTTCAACATTTCTTCTTAAAACACTCGAAACCTGATCCACAGACCTCATGATGATCACTCTAGAGAAACCGAAGACCTGTTTGTATGTTTGTTAAGACGTGTAGTGTTGGTGTAAATCCATATTTAATGCTAATTAAGAAGAAAACTACAGCTCTTGTCCCGCGCCGAGTCGAGGTAATTTCAGCTGACAGCTTTGCTTTTGTCTCCACATAATGACTCGATGTTCAAAGCGGTAAATCTGATATTGATAGGATTGAATCTACGATGTGATAAAAAGAGTGACAGGCAAAGTAGCAGGAAGTAAACAGGAAGTCTACTCCTTACGTTACTGTTCGGATGTGTCTCAGGTTCGAGAAAACCCCGTCACCCCGATGTTCCGTTCATTTCGGACTACTTTGATATTAAACTTTAAGACGGCGGACATCTTTGGTGAGTTTGTTTACGTCTAATGTTGTTTTTGACCTTAAACCTCTTTATGAAGATGAAACCCATTAGTCTGAAATCTCCACATTCATCTGATTACAACACGGCGCTTTAAAATGAAGAGGCTGTAGAAATATGTCTTTTTACAGAGCTGATGGCTCAGGGTCAGTCCATCACTCAGGGTCTCTTTACTCACTTTCTTTTGTGTCCTTCCACTCTCAAACATTTTCTCTCCTTTCGA